CGGTTCTCCTTATTTATTTTAAGCCCGGGTTACGTTTTCGCAAACATTTGACATTATCGTAGAGAAGGGACAAGGACCATCTCGCTTCCTCCGCCCCCTCCTTCCGGTAACTTGTAATCTATATGCTAAGCGACTTAGACTTTTTACTTTCCAGCTGGTCACGGCACTCAGCTTGAAGACATGGAAAGTTACCGAAATAACCGCCCTGTTTTTATTTCATTTGATATTTTAGATCACTTTGCACCTCAAGGAGCGAGTCAAGGTAATTTCCCCCCAGAGGAACGGCGATGTAGCTTCAGTCTAAGCATCTGGTCTAGTCTCAGGTAAGTGAGCCGGAGATTCCTAAATTGTGTCAGAATGAGCCCTTGCTTGGTCTGACTTGTCTCCAACGTGCGGGATATGTTTTCAATGTGCTGGATTTCATTTCGGTCTCAGTACTGTGATTAGGAGCAAATGATCATTTCAAGATGGAAATACCTTTTCAAAGGAATGCAATTACTTGACTGCTTGGGAAACTTTATCTTCACTTTTAAAGTCCTGACATCTACATGGCGTTTGACTGGGCGTTTTGGGAAACTTTATCTTCACTTTTAAAGTCCTGACATCTACATGGCGTTTGACTGGGCGTTTTCAGAATTGTTCTCTGCTGTGGCTAGTGACTTAAAGCATTAGTTTGTGGAAGAACAACATACTTCGTCTCAAAAGATGTGCAATGAAATTAGGACGTTTTGTTCTCTGTGCTGTAAGTTGTGACAGCAATACTTAGCCTTCTAAAATATTCAGCCCGGAAGGGAATGGGCGCCTTGTTTTTGTCCATGCTACAAAGTAATGATTTAAATAACACGATTCCAAACATTGTCTTGTGATTTTCCTATCTTTCTCTTTACTCATCCTTTCTTTGTTGGAACTGATAACATGAGAATACTACCCTAAGGGGTGATATGTTTCATTTTATTCTGGGGCTAAATGTAACTCTCTGGAACGATTTTTCAGTTCTGCTCTTGTCACTAGTAATTTTGAGTTTCTCTGCAAGAAGCTATCGTATTACATCTGGCAAGGAGAAACTTAAAAACAACAAGAAAAATATGATAAAGCTTTCATTCTAGCCTAAGACAAAAGCTCGTGCTACTTAGCCCTATAATGCCTGCATTTTTAATTTCAGGAAAAAATTTTTTGTTTTTATTCTTTACTTTCATAGTTATCAATATATAGATTAATATATACATTTAATGTTATGAAAACATGTTATGAAAACATCACGCTCAGCATTGTAGGGTTAGGATAGAGTTAATACTTCGGTGAGATTTATGTAGGTCTTTTTGTAATGATGGCAACAGAATAGGTAGGAGAGTGACACAGTCAATATATTGTTTCCACTGCATGATGCCAAATGACAAGAAGAAAAGAAAGGCTATTTCAATAAATATTTCATTTTGTAGCAGAAAAAAGAACAATTTTAAAAAGACACCCTTAGTCCAAAATAAGAATGTTGACATGCAAAAGTATGAAATAGGAAGTATCAAATGTATATGATTCCTGGCTTTAGCAGAACAAACTTTTAAAAGTTTTTCTAGACATGATTCAGCAGACATTAAATTAAAAATGAAAATAGATAAGCTGTCCTCAGCATAGATATATCTTCAAGTAACTTCCTCTGCCCCCTGCACTTCCCCTAACACATTGCTGTAGAGGTTTTGATCATGGTGGGGTTTCTTTTGCATTTATTTTGGTTATGCTGATGAAAATTTTAAACTATAAGCCAAAGCATTTGATTTTGCAATAATGAACGACCTTGTACTAAAATAATGGGGGCATGTGGAATTTAAATGGATGACATTTGAGTTCCGAATAATGGAAAACGAAAACAATCACAGCGAACACCCAATTTGCAGACTATGAATGACCGTGGAGGCCTGAGATCCATTTGCAGGATCCATACATGGATTAAGCCTCAGGCGAATCCCCTCTGACCATAGCCAGGCATGTGAATATCCTCTCTAGCAGGGTGCATTGTAAAGTCGATGATGGCC